CACACACATAAACACACAAAATCTCATATGAAAAAAAAATCTGAACGATCCATGCACCAGACACTTCAAGGTCACAACGCCTTGACTTCACTGCACAACAAAAAAACTTCACCAAACAACAACCAATAAAAAAAGCAATTAATACGTCATAGTGGTGGGGGGAGGCCGAGAATCAGCTGTAAACAACTACTTATGTATTTAGAGGGATTCCAAATAATTGAGTTTCCAGCCCCTGTCCCACATAAACATTATTACATTCTGGACACTTAAGCTTATAAACTCCAAATTTCTCCAACTTGTCCACTTTATCTTTGACATTGAAAAGGTGATTAGATAACCTGGCATGTGGCTTGAATGCCACTTACACATTGTTTTTTTATGAAAAATCCCGCAATTGTCTGTTCTATCACCAAAATATGTTGGAGTTTCAAATCTCTTGATGGTCTCTGATTGTTTGATCGAGGGGTATATTAATCTACGTAAATTTGATGCTTTGCTTTCTGACTAACTTCTGGATTGTGTCTGCGTTGAAACCATTATTCTGTCCGATCTGTATAATTGTTTTGATTTTACTATCTATCTAATATAGAGATGGGACAGAATAATGGTTTCAATGCGGACACAATCCAGAAGTTAGTAGAAAAAATAAGCCTCAAATTAACGTACAGATCAATTTATCCCCAGATCAAACAATGAGAAATCAATAAATTTGTAACATATTTTGGTAAAAGAACAGAGGCAATTGCGGGACTATTTAAAAGGAAAAAAACAATGTGGAAGTTACAATCAGGCCACATGCCAGGTAGTCTAATTTAATTTTTAATGCCAAAGATGAAGTGAACAAGATGGAGGAATCTGGAGTTTATGAGCTCAAGTGTCCGGAGTGTAATAGCGTTTATGTGGGACAATGTGGTCGAAATTTCTGAAAACGGTATGCTGAACATGGAAGGTCATTTAGACTGGGTAAAATGATTCTAGGTTTTTGAACCATTCCTTGAAAGGTATCCACAAATTTCCGAATTTACATTATACGGAAATTTTGCACTATGCAGGCAAGAGTTGAAAACTCAATCATTTGGAGTTTCTGGAAATTCATAAACATAAGCATTGCGTATATAACTTACTGAATGACCGGGTCTACTCGCAGGTTTTCAGATTAGCATACCCACATGGTCACACGTAAATAAAATTCAAGTAATGAAGTCATTAAGGATCGTCTGTTATTACCGACAGTGACTGTACAGGTATATAAAAAGTTCCAGTAAGACGAAACTGCAATAGGTAACATTAGTTACAAATACAAGTTGTATGAAAATATAGAAAGTTTTAATTTTCATTTTTATGTTGATCTGCCACGTAGTAGGTTATGTTAGGTTAAGTCTGAAGTGAGTGGGTCTATTCGACCCTTCACCGCAACCTGCAAGGGTTTTTGTTGCCCACACCTATTCACACTCGACCAAATAAACCTGATTCGGTCCCAAACAGGGCAGGCACAAAGTATATGCTCTGTTGTTTTATCATTTTCCATACAGAGGCGACACACACTGTCTTCCGACAGTCCGAGTCTCTGCATATGCTGATTCAAATAACGGTGACCTGTAAGAAGGCCTGTAAGACATCGTAGTTCATCCCTACGGTAGTCCAACACTGTTTGGTATCAAGCTTCGAAGGGTGAATAAACGCCTTGGAGTGAGCCAGTCCTGGAAGATTCTGCCAGAAGTTCATAAATACTCTTGCCATCTAAGTGTTCATTTTGGAAGCCTAAAGCGATGCCAATGAAAGGATCTGGTCCGATGAAGCTGCTTGCAGCACCCCCCTTTGCAATGGAGTCAGTAGCCTCATTGCCTTTCAGGCCAATATGACCAGGAGTCCAGACCAGAGAAGATCTGGTGAATCTACCTATCGAGAAGAATTGTTTTTGTCAATTTGCTACCAATTTAGACGTTGTTCGGTAGGAGTCAATAGCTTCCAACGCCGCTTGACTGTCGGAGAATATTTTTATTGACTTGTGTCTGAGGTTGGACTTTTCAAATCTCTCCGCACACAATTCAAAAGCGTACATTTCCACATGAAATACAGTCGTATAGATTCCTAGGCAGGTAGATATCTCTGTTCTGGGTCTGCGACCAAAAACACCTGCACCAGAACCGGAAGGTATTTTTGATCCATCTGTGAACCAACAACTATCTGCTCTTGATATTTCCTTCTCCCGTAGGATCCACTCCTCTTCACTCGGGAACAGTACTTTATAAGGCAGTTCGTAGTTGACAGTTGGAGGCATAAAGTCAGAGGTCATTTCCAGAATGCTGTGACTTCCAGTGTCAACCAACAGTCTGTTGCACTCTGCCACGTAGTAATGGCTACATCCATCAATGGCTCGGGGTGATTAGCGTGGGAGTCACTGTCACTCTCTTACGGGTGATTGACAGGCCCCTGGTGCAGACCACACGGCACTTACCCAATAAAGTCATCGGTCAACGACCCAATCCCGCACCTGCGGGCAACAGGCGTTGGCCGGTTTCAAGCTAGATGTGTGGGAGAGGTGTCTCGCAAGAACCCTCGACGGTTACTCATCTAACATTGGAAAGACAGCTTTCCTAACATGAGTGCCTTTTGGGGTAACGTAAGTGTATGCAGTGCAGACCACACGGCGCACACCCAAAAGTTGTTGGCGAACCGCCCTATTTCACATCGACACGGGTAATGGGCGCGACGTCTTCGACATAAGATGTGTGGTAGAGAATGCTCGAAAGAGTCATCGATGGTTACTCATCAAACGTTGGAAAGGGAACTTCCCTAACATGAGTTCTAGAAGGAAGATGAGTGCCCGCTCGCGGCTGGAGGCTAGTGAGCCTCATCTCCGACTGGCGTTGGCCTCTTAGAGGCAGAGGCTAAAGGGATAGGCTTGCGGTAATCCATTCATGGGTGCATTGCAGCCCCTTATTGAGGCACTGGATGGCTTATGCTGCTTATGTATGGATTCAAGCGTTCGAGGTGTCGGGGCTCGCGGTCCTTCCAACAGGCACTAATATCCGAGTCTAGCCTTGGAGGGCACCAAGGCAGACGTTCGAGGTGTCGGACCCCGGGATGGACGGAGCTGGTAGTATCCGAGCTTAGGATCCCGACTTGCCACTTCCGTTACCATATTGCCAACTGATTTGGCAGGTTAGCGGGGGCAGGTGTGCGACGCGAGCACTCTCTGGCGAAAGACGAGCTCAGTTAACTTGTACGAACGTTTGGTCGAACGCTGCCGATGTTCATGTCTCTTGGTTAGCCACACTAAGTAGATGAAAGGAGGCAACTCCGGGTTCGGTGAAGCGGGAGGAAGCCCTGCGAAATCCTGTTGGTGTGGGCGAGGGGCGTTACCCGCAAGCATTTCCCGAAAATCCACCCCACCACACCCGATCGCATCCAACGCCAGGGTGCGTCTGGGAGGCCTAATTGGCCCCCAGACGCACCCCAGAAGTACGAATAAGTTTACCCATATTTCCGTTTTATCAAAACATTTTGAAAAAACTATCAGTGTAAGTTGATGCCATCTGAAGTAGTAGTTCAACAATCCAAAAGTAAAAATGTCGTCGGCACATACAAAGAATAGTTTTCCTAGTTTGTCCTTGCTTTTTCTAGTTTTCAAAGACGCACCACCCACTCCTCCTTCACACGCCGTAGCTCAGCAAGATTCCACTGAATTCGTGATATCACTGAAGAATCTGCTTAAAGACAAATCTTTCATGCTTCTGTTCAGCGCATATGGCATCAGTACTGGTGTTTTTTATGCTATTTCGACTCTTCTCAACCAGATCATCTTACATTACTATCCGGTGAGTGAAATCAATGAATTAACCACAATAAGGAAACCTTCAATGAACGAGTTGAGGTAGGCTGTAGGACGACTTTTCAATTTTCAACTCATTCATTTTTGATGTTATGTAACATCCTATATTTATATTTTTAGAACGGAAATGAAGATGCTGGTCGTATAGGTTTGGTCATAATCGTGGCTGGAATGATTGGATCTGTCTGTTGTGGCGTCATTTTAGACAGGTATCACAAGTTCAAGTAAGTTATTATACACGGACCGAATGAGAACACTTTTGAAGTATTCTTCATTATAATTTCCGTTCACAGAGGTAGGGGAGAGTCGGTCGATAATACCGCGCACCACATTATCTCCCAGAAGAAAGTCATTTTTGGCAATACCGCACAAATAGTCGTTAGCTTCAACGTCTTTTTTCGCCCCGTAGTTCAAATATTTCTATTGCAAGCACTGGATCGAGCTCGGCACGTGTTTATTGTTTACCGTGAAAATTCTTATAACTTTTATCATTTTTTGGATCAAGGTAGGTACTAAACCTTTTATTCAAATGTTACATATTGTGCTGCCATAGACAGCTAATAATATTAGGAAAATATGTGATGTTGATTGCTTGTCCCAGATTTCCATTTTCTGAATTATCTTCGCATGAATTCAAAATGGTCACATCTAATAATTGCGCGCCCAGGGCGCGGTATTATCAGCCGCGCGGTATTATCAGGCCATGCTAATATAGTTTTTCTACAGATGACTGAACCTACTCCGAAGAGAAAAAAGGCGTTATGGGATCCAGCTCAGATGAAAGCTGCTCTGGAAGCTGTACGTTCTGAAAGAAAAGTACAAGAGGTGGCAAGAACTTTCGACTTGCCAGAATCGTCAATACGAGACAGACTTAAAAGAGGAGCATATTATGATCCTCGTATGGGTCGACATGCAAAATTTACAAATGAAGAAGAGAAAGAATTAAAGTATCATGTAGACTATCAAAAAACATTTTATTTCTGACCGGGATATTATAAGCTTATATCGTCATAGTTACGCTATCAATAAAGAGGGTCATAACTCCCTTGGGACATTATAGATTTTATAATTCCCTTTACCTTTCACAAGTAAAAATAAATAGAAATGAAAACTGAACCACATTTTATTTATTCACGTCATTACAAATAATAAATGTACAATTTTGAAATGTTCCCTGAAAATTACTTCCGCCACTGGAAACAATTTCTTCTTTTGTATGGCTGGAGCTTCTGTTCACTACAGTCGAGGTACCTGCCTCTTCTGATGACAAAGTAGACAACATACGCGCCGTTTTATTTCTCAATTCGATGCTATCCTCCAAATACCCCTCCGCCACCGTGGAACTTTTCCAACCTCCGTGTCTTTTTAAGTTAGTCATAGTTGCTCCTGCATTGGCTAGAGCAGTAGTAGAAGTGCGACGAAGGCAATGTCCCGCATAGGAAGATGAGTTTGGCAATCCTAAATACATTGCGATTTTGCTGGGGATTTTCCCAAACATGTTTTTTCCAATTGGCTGAGATGTACATTTATTTTGTCGGAAGCTCAAAAAAAATCGTTCAATACCTTTAGGACGCAAAGACATATAAAGTCTTAATAAAGGCAAAGCGGAGAACTCTTTTTCATCCACAACTGTAAATTTCTTCGATACACCAGTTTTACTTTCCGGTACGTTCACTACCATAACGGAATCCCGGTCCTCTATATCCGACATCTTCATATTCAAAAGTTCCTAACTTCTGCATCCTCCAAAATAACCCATAATCAAAACAACCTATAACAAAAAAAAGGAAATAAATACACACAAAAAGGAAAATAAGAAAAAAATTACCTTATGCAATAAATGAATATCATTAGGAGCGTCCTTTAGGAATCTGATAACATCTTTAGGAGATAAAACAGCAGACTTTTTCGGCTTATAACTCTTACTCTTCCGTTTCAAAAAAGCCTGTAGTTCATTGAACTTGGTGATATCTCGTTTCTCATGTATAGTCACCATCGATTTTAGCATTGACCATTTAGTCCATAAAGAATTCGGACTATACGTTTCTGACTGAAACGAATAAACACAATTACTACCAAATCTACCGAAAAACATAGAAAATTCCTTACCAGTTCTTGAAAATATGCCAGAAATACAGTTTCAGTGACATCTTTTGGCATAACATTTTTCCGTGTCAGCCAGTCCAGATATATCTTGTATTCTTTTTGGTATACGGCTTCACTTTTCGATGGAATTAATGATTCTCTTGCTTGTTCAGCTTTTTTCAAAATATCCTCCATTATATTTGGGGTAGAAAACACGTTTTCACCGCAAACACAGCTTGATAACAAAGTTCTGTTTATAAACAAGTAACATAGCAACAACCTAGCAACAAGAAAACTCTACTATAATCAACGGTACCTGATTCAAATATACCGGGAAGGTAATGAATTGGTACATTTTTCCATTTCAAAAATGAACAAAATTTTATTAAAATTGGTCAGAAATAAAATTATCTATGTACCACGGGAATTAATGAGCCTTAATAACCTCATAATAACCTCAGGCAATTGCTGTCCCTCGGGCCAGAGGCCCTCGGGACGCAAACTTTGCCATCGGTAATTAAGGCCCTCCTAATTCCCTTGATACATAAATAACTATTATGGGGTCACTCAGCAACAACTACGTAAACTGGTCTACGAGTTTGCTATTGAGGAAAACAATTGTTCCCAGTAACAGCAGTTGTCAAGAATCTGCCGATAACTATATTTGCTATTTTTGCTGATTTCTTTCATATTGCTGCCTTCAATAAAGACATATTTTTGAAACACGGTATTGTCACACAGGGAGCGCGGTATTATCAGACTGGTTTGACAATACCGCGCTTTTATTAACTTTTGTTTTTTTTTCTCCCCCCTCTACCACTTCAACTTAACTCAAAATTTCTCATTTGAACTTGTTTGCTAGATAACTCATCTATTAGCTGACATATGCAGAGTTGGAATTGAATACATCTAATGATTTCTAGAGCGTGTTTTTCTTAAGGGCGCGCCAATATCCGACTCTCCCCTATAGGGAACCTTGCCCATTTCAAACCAAAATATGACTATTGAATCAACCATGTGAAAATTTCATCTTCATCCAGTGGTATACAACAATATGTTTGACACACGTATTAAAACATTCGAAAACATCCATATAGCACGTAACATGAATATCATCACTACATATTATAAAAACGTCCCTCCTCCGCTACGTCTGTCTGAATGCGATAAACTCAAAAAGTATCATTTTTTTTAAAAGAACAGAACACAAGCACCACAGAAATTTTTTTAAGGCGCTCTCAGAGCGTTGCCTGTGCGAAAGTAGCGATTCACATTGGATTTGAATCACTGGAGATTAAATCCATTTGGAAAAACGTTCTCAAGAAAATTATTTCACATAAAGGCAACTCTCCAGATGGAAGAATTTTCAAACAGTGAAATCTGAGGTGTACTGAGTTGAACCTCAAAATGATGAGCAGTCACAGTCGTCACGTATTTCTGATATTTACCGCTCTTGGTGCAAACAAATATGCCAAGTCACTTGAACACTTTCCATGGAGATATCTATAGAAGAGAGACAAATCTCCAAATTTTTTCCTCTGTTCCAGACTATCAAGGTTGCAAGTGATATTTGTGTCTCCAATCAGGTGGATGGATCTTTTCTGGATGGAACCCAACAACTTCAGGGTATGTTTGGGGGCAGAGCTATGTACATGAGAACAATACTCCAAAGAAGGCCTGATCTGAGCTTTATAAAGTATCGAAAGTTGATCAGTGCTTCAAGCTTTTGAGAAGCAGCTTTTGCAATTCCAGCGATAGATCGTGTCAAGACATATTGGTGGCGATTTTAACCCCCAACAAACTTATCGAAACAGGAAGTGGAACTGTCTGACCTGACATTATTATATCCGGCTTGGAGATATTTATCTTCTTGAAGAAAACCGATACCTGGGTTTTTGTGGGATTGAATTGAACCTGGTTACTATCACGTCAATTCGAAATCACTCCTAAATCCTCATTAAGTTATACAACCTCCTGCTGCCGGTGAAGATGTGCCTCCGTAGCCGATGTCCTGGAATCGAAATGGAATGAGGAGACAAGTGTGCTGTCGTTAGCAAAGCAATATATTGGGTCGTTGATATACAATAAAAAGAGAGTTGGAGACAATATGTTTCCCTGGGGAACACCAACGTTGATGGTTGCACTTTCAATGCAAGACATACAAATGCTCTGTATAGAGGGGTATCATTAATTGTCTGAATAATTTGTGTTGTTTCTGAAAAAAATGTCAACGCCTAACAAAACACCAGTCATCAAGAGTGGGGGACGTTAAATGGTTTTTGAAGTATTCAATTATTTTCAAAGTGTTAAGTGTGAGTCACATATGTCATCAGAATTGAAAAATAAAACAACTTTTGCTACAGGTAACATTAAATAAATTTGAAAGAATAACTATTTCGACAGAAATTAGGTATCTCAATGAAAACCATTGAAAGAGTGGTTAAAGAAGGGAAACAACTCATTTCTGTGAACAACGGAAAAGTTGAATGTTCCACCCCAAGAAAGAAGCAGCCTAGAAGAGCACCAGTAACTGATATTTCCGAGTATGAGTATTCCAATATTAGACCGATTATTTACGACTTTCATAAGACGGAGGGGTGTCGTATTGAAGTATAAACGTTCCAATACAAAATCAATGACATTTTGGGAATTGTGAAAATAGGTTTCAAATGGAGAGGGACTGAAAAGTGTCAAAAGAGAAAATGAACATTAGAGCAATGAGGATCAAGTACCAAATAGTTGTTGGACTATAGCAGAAATGAACTACGAATTCTAACAGGCCTTCTTACAGGTCACTGCCATTTTAATCATCACATGTAGAGACTCGGACTGTAGGAAGACAGTGTGTGTCGCCTCTCTTAGGAAAATGATGAAACAGCAGAGCAAATACTTTATGCCTGCCCCACTGGGGACCGAATCAGGCTTTTTTAAAGTTTGGCAGAGCCGTACCCTTACCTTCTGACCTGAAAGAACACTCACCATACAAACCAATCGGCTTCGTTGAGAAGCTGGGTTTATTTTGTCAAGTGTGAATAGGTGTGAGCCACAATGAACCCTTGCGGGTTGCGGTGAAGGGTCGAATAGACCCACTCACTTTGGACCCAACCTAACATATATGGTTTTTTCAAACTTTATTGTAACATCTGATTTTGTTCCAAATTTCAAAGTAACATGTTTTTTCACCTTTTAACCTAGAACAATAAACATGGAGGGGGCATTGAAAGGCTTCATTCAGATTTATATTTTTCAACCAGTTGTTTTCGAAAAATTGTTTTCTATAATCACAAAATACACAATAGTCAACTTTTTGTGCATTGAGAAATCAGCATGGGGCTTATTATTGTGTAATGTAATGGAAAATTGATAACAATCTCATTGTTTCGAAGACACATCTTTCATTTACAACTCCTTGTATTATCAATATGGATTGTTAGCATCGTCTTATATATTTAAATTGTTTTAAGGGAAACAATCCTCACTGTATATGCCTTGGCCCTGATGGGGATGGTTCTCTTCACCTTCACAGTATCGACTGGACTATACGTGGTTTACATAACCTCGTTTCTATTAGGGTGAGTATTTTCGATATCAGGTGGCCTAACGAAAACGAAACAGATATTTAGTCGAAATACAGAAAACTTGATTTTTTTGTTAAAGAGACATATCCTTTCCTGGTATTTGTGACTTCGCAACTATTACTCTCCAACCACTGGAGATGTAATTCAAACTCAAAAACAGACATACGAACAGAAATCTGAAGATTGTATCGAGAAGAGAAAATTCGTATAAGGAAATAAATATTTTGAAATGAAATCTCGTACCCTTACAGTGGGTTCTGGTGAATTCCTGGCGGAAAACAACTTTTTCCCAGCTGATACCACGCTCTTTAAGGTTTGTTCACGACATGGAAGGTGTTCAGGACATAGGAAGGTGTCATACATGTCGTCGAGCCGTATGGAAGTCAGTCGAGTACCAAGCACACTGGTCTTTGGATTGGCTCCTTCCTCCACTGATCTAATGGATTTATTTCAGCATGGTACTTCTGTTTGATGAACGAGAAATATATACAAGACTATTTTCTGCATAAATGTATGTCGGATATTATTCAATGTTCAGTGGAATATTAGCCTGGGAAGTAGTTGTATCTCGGCAGGCATTTACGAGAACCTACTGTGTAGATACGTTGGGAGGAATTAATGTTTCAACATTTCATTCCGAAATATAATGGAGGCGGTCCAATTCTGATATGAAGTTCATACCCAAAACTTCACGTCCTTGTGGGCAACATTTATTTCCCATTTCTACTGACAAGGGTGGTCAAGTGATTCATCTAAGTATTTTGTTATTTTATTGAGATAAATTGACAATAAACAACAACAAAAGGAACAAAATTACTCAATATAATGACCTCCACTAATTATCTTACTATATTTAAGCCAATTTTCTTTCTCTTCATTTATTGTGAATTGAATGGCTTTTATTCTTTCTCAACTTTTGATGCTTTATAAAGCTCAGATCATATCTTCTTTGGAGTATTATTCGCATGTATGGAGCTCCGCCCCTAAGCATACCCTGAGCCTGCTGGATTCCATCCAGAAAAGAGTCATCCACCTGATTGGAGCCACGAACATCACTTGCAACCTTGATAGTCTGGATTATAGAAGAAAGGTTGGAGATTTGTCTCTCTTCTATAGATACTTTCACGGAAAGTATTCAAGTGACTTGGCACAATTGATGCCGCCAAGAGCGGTAAATATCAGAAATACGCTACGGACTGTGGCTGCTCATCGTTTTGAGGTTCAACTCAGTACACCTCGAACTTCACTGTTCAAGAACTCTTTCATCTGGAGAACTGCGTTTATGTGAAATAAACTTCCTGATAACGTTTTTCCAAATGAATTCAGACTTCAGAGATTCAAATCCAACGTGAATTGCTTCTTTCGTACAGGCACCGCTCTTGGAGCGCCTTGAGGATTTTTCTGTAGTGTTTGTGTTTTCTCCTTAACAAAATAATCTCTCCTAAAAACACCACTTTCAGTTTTGATGGTGAAAACTGTCTTTCTCAGATATCCATAAAACAAATTTTACGATGAAATAAAATTGTCTGGCTAGCCCCATTATCCGATCCACTGTCTGGAAAAACGCTCGTCCAGAAACATCTGAATATGGGGATGTACCATCCTGCAAATATGGAGCTTTGAATTTGAGCCTAGTTTGGGCTACAAGTTTCTCCAAAAAAGCCATTTGCCTATATAAGCATTGATGATTTAGTGTAAATTTTCAAATATAATTTACAAATTCATTAGTCAAAATTTGTGGTTTTAATGTCTTCTTACGTGCACTCCGAAGTGAATTGTATCTCTCACGACCCACATACCATTCAATAATTTAATGTTGACTATGACTTTTGCTTGAGGTGGAAGTGACAGAGTAAAAATATTTTTAAAAGTATCTACCTGCAATAAAATATCAAAAAGTTCTTGCGTTTTTGAAAAAAGTTTGCTGCAGTAGCCGATAACTGATCTGTTTTGTTTTCTTTTGACCATCCTGGATGTATATTTATCTAGTTTTGATCTAAAATGATTTTTTCATCATTCAGAAGCACAACAATATTATCGAATTAATTATTTTCAGATTCTTCATGACCGGGTTGCTCCCCATAGGTTTCGAATTGGCAGCCGAGCTGACCTATCCAGAACCAGAAGGCACCTCCTCAGGTCTGCTCAACTTGTCGGCCAGTGTATGCGGAATTATTTTTACCAACTTATACTCTGTTATTTTCTACCAAGTCGATGCCATGTGGGCCAATATATCGATGTGTTTGATGTTGTTTGTGGGAACGGTTCTCCTTGCATGCACCAGCTCAAATTTGAAGAGGCAGGCAGCGCAGACTAAGAAAAATGGAGTGCCCTGAAGCATCCATCAGGAAATTGGTTAACTTTTTGTCTGAAACTTTGTTAAAATCATTGCTTCGCCATTTCTTTCGATTAAAAATTTCAAATATTTTTCGTATTCGAGTATTTTCTAAATTCTGCTTCAAAATCGCTTGAAAATATTTCATAAAACTGAATAGAGTCGGACTATCAGACTATAAGTCCTACTGAAAGGGCATCGAAGTATTCATATCAAATTAACAAAAAGACGGATTTAACTCTGCATAACCTTGTAGAGAAAACCACCCAATTTGTTGGATTAGCTTAGGCTGAAAAAAGCATTGAAATGACCACAACGGGCTGGATATACGTTTTGCTTATGAATGGAATATCTACTCTTTGAAATAACGCCTTCAGGTTCAAGGCGAAGTGCAATGTTCCCTTCTGTGGTCACTTCTGATGAACAGTTTACTTGTTATTCTTGATAGAAGAGAGGTAGCGCTGCAAGCTACTGTTGATGGTAAGGACCCAAGTGATGGCAGAGGAATCAGATGTCTGGAAACTTTAGCAAGACTGTGAAATACCCGTATCAAGAAGATTGATCTTCATGATACAATCCCACTTTCCTTCAGTAATAAGGCTTCAGTATAGGGACTTGAGACTCAAACCAGTCAATTGATTATGTGATGATTATCAGACCAATAATCACATACTGAGCAATTAGCTGGTAACCGAAAACTTGACAGAAAACGGGCTTAAGCAGATCTGGAATGTATGGAGACAGGCTTGCCAGGCTATTACCAGTGTCATCTGCAATACATAATTAGCGACCACGAAAGTTTTCCTGAAGAGAAGATCTATACACTTTTGTATGCGTTTGAACCAATTGTCGAAGCACTTTTGCCACTCTGATTGAGGTATATCCAAAACATGCATACAGAATGCAGCAACCGCTTCTTCAGGTGTCGAAAAACGTTGACCTCTCAGTTTGTTTTTTTCGTGTGGGAATAGAAAGAAGTCATTCGGTGACAAGTCAGGATTATACGGCGGATGACTCATCAAATCGATGTTTTGGGTGCTCAAAAATACAGTTGTTTCAGCCGATGTGTGAGAGCTCGCATTATCGTGGTGAAGAGTGATCCGTCTTCGGCGATTGGTTTTCCTGATTTCTTGGACGACAACTGGCAAACAAATGGTTGTGTACTACTCAGAATTGACTGGTCTGCGTTGTTCTAGTGGTACGGTTGCGACATGTCCAGTTTTTCCGAAAAAAGAGGCGACCATTTGCTTGGAAGTGCTTCGTGGGCGAACAACTTTTGTTGGATTTGGCTCATCTTGATACACCCATACAGTCGACTGCTGTTCACTTTCGGGCTCATACGCATCAATCCACGATTCATCACCTGTCACGAAATCATAGACGTGTATCGAAGCACCGCGATAGTATTTTTTGAGCATTTCCTTCGACCAATCGACACGGGCCTTTTTTTGAGCGATTGACAAATTGTGTGGGATTCAACGCGAACAAATTTTTTCGACAACCAAATGTTTATGCAATATTGAATGTATGCTGGTCCCACTAATGCCTAAGGGTGTCTCAATCTCATGATAGGTCACATGGCGATCTTGCAATATCAGTTCGCGCACAGCATCTTGGAGAGAACTACGACCATGATTGAATTCACCATACCATCGAGAAACACTGGTCCTTGATGGAACTTCATCGCCAAAAATTTAATTAAGTTCATCCATGCACTGTTGCTGAGTTAATCCACGTCGAAAGTTGTAAAAGATTATCGCACGAAAATGTTTACAATTTAATTCCATTTTTGGGCCGAAATGAATCTTTTAAGTTATTGTAAACAACACAAATAGCGCGCGTATGTCAAAACGTCTGAGTACGTATAAGCTCAAAAATGTCCAACTTTACGTTACAGCTGTCAGCTGCCAGATTGCAACACTAGGGTTGACAAATCCCGAAACATAAAAGGCAACCCTCGTACCTAACTCAACATATTGCCAATTGCTAAAAACAAGTAAACAGTAAATCTGGATAACTGATTTGAAATTCGCCTTTGACGTCAGTCCTAGCATGAAATTTAACTGAATTTTTGAATATAAAATAACACATTCATATGCATAGTGATTGATTGACCAAAATAAAGACACATTATTATCATCTTCTGTATTTTCCATTAAGATATTTATAATTTAAAATATAGAAGATGAAAGTGAAACTTCTGGTGTGAGACAAATCCAAAACAAGCACTTTTCCCAGTCACCATAAATGCAATACTCTTTTCGACGTGCGTTTACCAACCAAGTTGGCGTCTCTAGGACATGAGTTTTCTTCATCTTGTGCTTGTTTTGAGATGAAAATATAATTTTTAACTTTTTTATTTAACTTGTCCTGTTTGTTTGGGTAAATTCAGTAATTGGTGTACACATTTAGTTTCGATGACAATACAATTCAATGAATTCTGTATCATTGTGCATCCAAAATTGCCACATCAACAAAATGACGGATTACATATTACTTCCCAACTGCCTCAGTATGGTTTGAAGGTGGTTGACAATGTTTCATGGTGAATTTCATTAGTTCGGACTTCCATTGTCTGATATCATATAAAATGATTCGAAATCCCTGAAAGAACCAATTCAAATGTAAAATTAAAAAGAATATCTGAAAATAACAAATATTTTAAACGAAAACACATCAAAATGAAATTACTATAAAATAAAATACAATCAACAATTGCACTATGGGCTTGTTTCATGCTATTGGAAATGATAATGGTTTGCTTATAGACTGATCGAGTTAGGGGTATATTATATTTATCGAGCCTATCGGTCCCAATATCTTTTTATATTTGCAGAAAAAAGAAAAATTCGAGAAGCAAGAGTTTAAATTGGGCGCGTGTCTGTTGACCAATTAAATTGATTGTGTCTACAGCGGTTTTGCCGAGTGTCAATTATTTTAACAAAAATACGAAGTTATGAAACATTAGAAAGAGTACCTACATTGTCTCATACATTCAAGGGAGATAGCTGACTGGGTAGCAATATGGCTAATATATAATATATAACGTAGAATTCCTTATTTTTGGTGGGTAGCATGAATGTATAGTTGATTTATTTTATTAGAGTTCATAAGCCTTTGGGAAATATTTAAAAATATAGCTTGTTAAATTCTATTCAGAACCATGGTTTTCGAATACATTTTATTTCATATGGAGAATTTTTTCATGAATTTGAACGTTAACGGATTCACATATACCTACTTCCATTATTGAAATTTATGTGATATCAACATGAAATGTCTACTGCCGGAGATATTTCAAAAATGTTTTTATTGCGTTTCGTGTTATTTGGATCCCATGTACAATTTTACAATTTCTTCTTAGATTTAGTTGTCGGAAGTGAATGTGATTTTACTTTGAAACTGTGTTTACGCGCCATGAAATTTATAATTTAGCAATGTTTATTGTTTTTATTGTTCCCATTGGTCAATCGAATAAGAAACGGGACTAGGCCCGTGACATCACGGGCCTAAAATCCGATTTATAATAATCAATGATGTAAAAACAACGTTATTTAGGGAGCTGAAACAAAGTACACAATTTTTCAATTTGAAATTACTACCAAATGAACTGTAAACCAAAAATCATGAAACAAGCTCATTGAAAAGAAGTAAAAATTGAAAGACTTCAGGCTAAGTTACTTCACGACGTTTCGATTGTTAGTATCCACAATCGTCTTCGGGTGATGACTGGACTTATTCCTGCACGTCGTCTTGAGTTCATTCAGGTTGGAGCCCAGCTCCCTTACCCTTTTGGCTGATCTTTTCCGAGATCTGACTATTTATAGGTCATGCTTTTACCTATCCCCTCTTTCCCCTCACCGCTTCATCGGTTTTAGCAGGAGCTGATGTTTGACCGTTTGGCGGGAGTTGGTAGTGTTCCGCTTGATTATGAGTTTCCATGTGTTTCGTATCTTTACGCTAGCTCAGTTGAATGCGTTGTTGGCTTCTTTGAAGTCCCTCCTAAACCAGTGCTACTCCCTGTGGATGATCTCAGCTTGAGCCCACTTGATGTTATGTTGATGAGTCCAAACATGCTCTGCTCTTCCCGATTTTCTGGTTTCTCCTTGCTGTGTGTGTTTCTTGTACTTGAAAATGCGGACTTTCAATGGCCTCTTAGTTTCACCGATATAGGATTTGCCGCACTTGCAGGGTATCCGATAAATGTAACTCTTGGAATCTTCTCATCCTTCCCGACAATCCTCTGATGTAGGGAAGTGCAAGTACCGCTTGTGACGGCTCCTCTTCCTTGCGAGACTCTTGCTGTCTTTTAGCCAGTCTCTCCACTTCAAATGATTTGATGCATTTGAATACCTGTAGGGTATCATCTCATACCTAGAATTGTTGAAAACATACCTATATCATCAAACACACCAAGTTTTTGATTTTTTTGGTGGAAAGTGTATTATTATTATAATGGTTAGTATTATTAATTTCCATTAAGTAACGGATCGGTGTAATCTCAATATCAAGTGGATCAATTGGTTAAGACTTTCGCGGCCGAGATTTTCATTGTTGGGATCTTCATTCGGGTTTAAAGGCCGTCGTGGTTTGGAACTGTATCCTAACGTTTCGCTAGCACTTGTGGCTGGCTTCTTCAGAGGTTTATCCATCTTGATGGAGTCATTGGTGAACCATCAAGTTGAATAAACTTCTGAAGAAGCTGGCACTCGTGCTGGCGAAACGTTGGGATACAGTTCCAAATCACGACGACCTTAAAACCCGAATGAAGATTGTAACAATGATCAAGTGGATCATTGTTTCAGTTTCTCATAAATAAAGAAGGTATTTGTGAACTATCTAAAAGAGGATGCAATAACGGCAGAAAATAAACTGCTTTCTGCGAATTTCGAAAAGTGAAAACATCTTCCTCTATAGAGACGCCATCTATGAGATCGGAACGGAACCGATTTCTCGAATATCAGAAATACACCAGCCTCCCTGAGGCGGTTAGTTGCGAAGTCAAGCTTCGATATCGACTGCTTTTGAGATTTGTCCTGCTGATCCATAGATAACGTCTTTGTCAGAAGATAAACGTTCCTGTGGCGCTGGC